AATTAAATGCAGTAAAGAGTTAGAACAAAAAAAAGAGTATTTGAAAAGCGTATAAAAGCCATTTTAGAAAGAAATGAGGCTGAAGACTTTGGGACCTTTAAGAAACAAAGATTTTGAGAGAAGAAAGAAAAGAAGCACAGACAAAACTAGAAAGAAAGAGGTTGTAAAGAAAATAAAATTAGAATTTTTTTTATCATTGTGGGGCTGGAGTTTGAACTTAGGGCTTCTTGCTTGCAAAGCAGGGACTCGACCACTTCAGTAATACTTCCAGTCCATTTTGCTCTGGTTTTGGAGGTGGGCCTCTTGAACTATTTGATGGGTCTGGCCTGGAACTGTGATTCTCCTCATCTCAGCCTCCCAAGTTGCTGGGATTGCAGGTGTAAGCCTCTGTTACCTGACTCAATTAGACATTTTTAATTAGTAATATGTATCTTATACCTGGACCACAAGCAAGCTAAGCTGTCTATCTGTCTGTCTGTCTTTGTATGTATGTATTTGCTACTAAGGATTGAATTCAGGGCCTTGTGCTTGCTAGGCAAGCTATCTACCACTTGAGCCACACACTAGTTCTTTTGCTTTTAGTTTGTTTTTCATATAACATCTTGTGCTAACTTTGCCTGGGTTCGCCTTGAACTTCCATCCTCCTACTTCCACCTTTGAATAGTTGGGATTATAGGCATGTTCTACCACACCCAGCTTGTTATTTGAGATAGGGTCGTGCTGACTTTTTACCCAAGATGGCCTTGAACTATGGTCCTCCTACCTCTGGTCCTTGTACCTCTGCCTCCCAAGTAGCTGGGACCACAGGCATGCACCACCAAATCCAGCTAAGTTTTGTTTATTTTGCCTTTTTGGGCATGTATCAAAGGCATAACCATTTCTCTAATATTGGCTATGGTTTTAATTTTATGTGTGCTTATGAAAAAAAGAATAATTTTAGAATATTAACTATCTACTCTGAAACTCTACCCCCCTTTTTTTTCTCTTCAACAGATCCCAGAGTCATTAAGAAATGCTACATGGCAGAGATGGGGAAAAGATAATTCAAGACAGTTATTAGATGCTACAAAGGTGAGATTAAGCAAACTCTTTCATGTATAGTAGGAAAAGTGTGTCAGCCAATTGAACATTTCCCAATTTATACTACATATTTACTACATATTTTACATTTCCCAGATAATTTCCCTTTTCATGTTTTTCTAAATACTGGCAAGAAGGTATGTTTCTGCTATTAGAAATGCAGAGAGAACTCTTGATATTTTTCTATAAATTTCTGAGAAATTTGTCTGAATCTCTTGAGATCAGTGCCAAGTAGTGTAACATTTTCAGAAGGCTTTTATAAATGTAATGGCAGCTTGTTGACACTTAAATTTAGCCTGGTAATTTGTATCTGATATATGGAATATTACAGTTTTTTAAGTGAAGAAGTTTCTTTACCTTAGAGGATGTTCAGATAGCAGAATGCCAAGGGATTCTAAGCCCCTGGGGTAAAGTGATGCTGAGTTTACACGTTGATGAGAGTTATTTTTCATTGCTAATGTAAGTGAAAGACATCCTTTAAAATTCCCAGTGCTTTAAAATGAGGCAAGTAAATCTCCTTGATAGGAAAAAATTAGAAAATTAGAAGATGATCTAAATCCTGGGAACTTCCCTTATTTTTTTTCTGATTAATAATTATTTGCCAATAAGGTAAAAGGCATTGTTCTAATTTGTACAGAGACTATAAAAATGAATTAGGTTTTCCATTATTAAATTAAAACTTTAAGGGTAAAATGTGTTTGATCTTATCAGTGCCTGTGACGCCACCACGTTTATTTATACTTTAGTCTTTTACTTTATTGAAGACCTCATTATCTTGTGTGGTATTCACCAAACCCCTTGATAAAACTCGTTGCTCAGTCTTTTAGAGGAAAAAATGTCATGAAGAGACACTGGTAGACTAAAAGTTACCTTTTGATGTTTTCTGTTTACAAAATGCTTTAAGATTGTTGATCTAAAAATTGAGAACCCACTTACAGCAATTACTTTAGGTGTCTTAACTAGTAAGAACAAGAAGGCACTTTTGCTTTTTGTAATTCCATTTTCTTAACTTGTCCCTGAGCTCATACTGTTATGCTATGTATAGCATTGATACATACTTGTGTTTGTAAAGAACTGTGCCCTTGTTCATTAATTAGTGATTATTATGACTGCTGAAAAAGCATCATTAAATCTGTGCACTTCATTAAGTATTTTTGTTTTGAGGGCACTAAGGGTTGAACTTAAGGCCTCATGCTTGCTTGGCAGGTGTTCTACCACTTGATTCACTCTACCAGCCCTCATTAAGTATTTTTAATTTATAAAACCATTTTCAATATTAGCAAGTCCAAAATCTAAGCGTAATTATTACTATCTTGTATTTTCTCATGATTTTATTTTTTTATTGTTTGCTCTTATTTATTTTTTTTTTTGCTATTAAGTTCCTTATATATTCTTTTTTTTTCCCCCAGTACTGGGGTTTGGACTCAGGGCCTACACCTTGAGCCACTCTGCCAGCCCTTTTTTGTGATGGGTTTTTTTTTTTTTCGAGATAGGGTCTCAGGAACTATTTGCCTGGGCTGACTTTGAACCTCGATCCTCCTGATCTCTGCCTCCTGAGTAGCTAGGATTATAGGCATGAGCCATGGCAGCCATGATTTTATTTTTATAGTTCTCAACTTTAGCAATAATCTTAAGGCCTTTAAAAAGTTTGTAGTAGGTAAGGCTAGTTGGGAGATTTATAGATAGCTCTGTTTTATAAGTTCATCTAAGAAGCATTGAAGTCTACCTTACCTGTATGTAAGATACTGTGGTATGTACCATGGGAAATAAAAAACCAGAAGATACTGTTCCCAATCTTAATACTGTGTGATAGGAAAGACAAAGCATGTATGCAAATGACTATATCATTAGGCTGTGAAGTATTAAAAATAACCTCACTTCTAAATATGTATGTGAGCCAGAGTAAGAATAATGATGAGTTATATAAAATCAACTTTATTAATTGTAAAATAAAAATACGTACACAAGAAAAGTGAGATAAATTAGCAATGTTATCCTTGCAGATAATAGAGTAATAGATTACAGATCTAAGTCAAATAAAAATGTAATACAAGTTAAATCTCTTAAACATTAATTTCAAAAGCTATTTAGAGAAAATGATTTGAATATTTGTTATATCTCAATATTCCTTGTATAAGTTTAGCTATAAGCTAATTCTGAAGGTGTTTTGCTTTAGCATGCCAGGCTAAAAGCAATGCCTTTGAACTTATTTTGGGGATATTCATTCGATTAGTTGTCTAAGCCAGATTTTTAAACATCTGAAATTCTGTAATAGCTAATAGGCTGTGGTATCATTTTCAACTAGGCTCTCCAGGCATGGCCACTGATAGAAAAGAGAACATGTTGGCATGGTCATGCAGGAGGAGGACTCCACACAGACCCAAAAGAAGGGGTAAGAGTGAACAACACATAACTGGAAGTTCTTGTTGATGATTGTGCTTGCATTAAAGATATATGTATTTAAGAGTATCATATTCTAATATATATATTTTGAGACAGTCTTGCTATGTAGTCCAGGCTGGCCTTGAATTTGAAATCCTCTTGCTTCATTCAGCTCAGTACTGGGATTATAGGTAGGAACCACCATGCTGGTTTAAATGTTTTAATTCTCTAAAATAGTGTTGTTTAAGGTTATTTGTTACGTAATCTAGCCTTATAACTAAGTAGACAAATTAGGATTAGTACTTATATGTGATTTGTTTGTGTCTGTGTGTGTAAAGGTTAATATTGTCTCTTTTAAACACTTAGATCCTAGATGTCCCTGTCTTCATAATATATTGTCTGTCTACCTGATCCATCTATTTAATTATCTATATTCTTTATTATTTTTGTTATTATCATTATACAGGTATGCTAAACAGTAGAGCCACTGAAATAAAAAGATTTAATTGCAGTATACTTTTTCAAAGTGAGTGAAAATGTCATTGGAATACTGTTACATATTTCTCCACCTGGTTCTTTTCTCTGAGTTTGCCTTTATTTTCTTCCTATGCCTTGACCCAATACATATATAAATAGAAAAGATTTTTTCAGAGTTGATGGTCAAGGGATTAAATTTTATGCAGAAGTGCTCTATAAATTGCAGACATAAGTAAATATTAATTTTTTTCTTTGTAGGTAATTGGTAAATAAAACCTTTCAGTGCTTTTCCTCCTCCTTGATTCCTATTGCAACTTTTTTCTTTCAAGGAACTCACAGTATTGACATTGATGTTTATGTCCTATTTTTGTATATTACTATTCCTTATGGCTGTTTTTAGAAAAGCAAAGTATCATAAGACAGATTTTTTAGTAAAAATTAAGCCAAATAGTGAGATTTGTTTATCCATGTTAATCTTTGACATGATATTTACCAGTTTTTAGGATCATATGTCACCAAGGTTAGTTGTTAATAATGCTCTAAACACAACAAAAAATATGTTGACTAATAAAGGAGAAGCAGTCACTTCTCTTTACACTCAAGCAATATAACTTCAACAAAGTACATAATATGCAAGTATGAAAAAGTCATCATGAAACCCATTATTTTGTACAATTAATAAAAAAGAAAAAATAAACTTTAAGATTGTTTTTCAATAAAATATAACAAATAAAAAACCTCATTGTGATACTTTATATTTGGTCTTTACATTTTCATTCTTTTTTTCTCCCTGCCATCTTTGTATTACTTTAGCTTTGTTAGCCAAATGAAATCATAAAAAAGTAGGGTTTAGAGGCCAAGTGGGAAAAGAGGTAGTATGGAATCGTAGTTAAGAGCCTAAGTTTTGAAGCCCTAATGTCTGGATTTGAATCCTGGCTGTATGACTTCCTAGTGGAATGTCCTTGAGCAAGTTAATCTGTGTGTCCTTCAGTTTGTTCATCTGGGGATGATAATCATGCTAAAAGCGGTATAATTAGTCCTGTAACCCTAGCTACTTGAGAGGATGATAATCAGGAGGATCAGTATGAGGCCAGCTAGAGCAAATAGTTCATGAGACCCCATCTCCAAAATAACCAAAGCAAAGTAGACTGGAGGTGTGGCTCCATCTGTAGCGTGCCTGCTTTGCAAATGCAAAACCCTGAGTTCAAACCCCAGTCTCATCCCCCATTTTTTTTTAAAAAAGGGGTTTCAATGAGTTAACTCCTCACATCATGGGAAAGCTCTTATATAGTGCCTAGCATGTGGGAGACATTCAATACATATTAGCTGCAGTTAGTATAATGTGAGATTAGAAGGCTTATCTTCTGCCACAGTCCATCCATTTAAAAAGTATGTATTACATATTTGCTTTTTGGTAAACTCTATGCTAAGTATAGGAGATAGAATAATTAATTCTGCTGTCCAGAAACGTAACAATTTAGATGACATAATTATGTAAGCTATCATGTAGAATTTTTATCAGTCTGACAAATAATAGGTTTTACCCTTAAAACCAACTAAAATCTTTATTGTTTTACTTCTTACTCATTTCCACTTGTGTGTTCTTAACAACTATTAATCAGCATTAATAATGTATCTCAGAATGTATTTAAATTATCTATTTATCCAGTGTGGCTATTATAAAAGGTTTGTGAAAGCAGAGTGGTAATTTCAGTATTTGAAAACTGCTGTTTTTAAAATAGATAAATCAAGGAGTTACTTTTTTATAATAGAAATCTTAAAATTTTGAAAGAATTTTAGAACTTTACTCTTACATTTAAATTTTTAGTTACATTTTTCTGTAGAGTCAACTGTGCTCTTAAGAAGGACTCAGATTAACCTGCAACTTAATGAAAAGACTACTTGCATTTTACTAAGGACTTTTTTTAATGTTAGAAAAACTTCTTCATTGATTGAATACAGTGCAAAGCCACCTACTAAAGCAATCAGACAGCTTTGAAATAAATCTTGATTTAATCGGAAGAACTGAAACAGCAGCTTGGAGTATTTAAAATAGGAAGAGTGGAGAGATAATCTCCAGACTTATGAAAATGAGTGGGTGAACAGACCAATGGGTATGAATACCTGGATGACATGGGGAGTTTGTTTTCTAGCTCTGATTTCATACATCATCAAGCAGTCTTCTAATCTTTGATTTCTCAAATTGACTTCCTTTGGGATAAAGAATTCACTGACTGGCCAATGTAAATGTAGTATGTTTGGTAGTTACTTTTCATTGTTAATTATTAAATGGACAGGTATAAATCCATCTTAGGTGTAAGATAATCCATTTTTCTACAGAGCCTAATCACCACTGCATAAGCTCTTCATTGAAATTTCAAACCAAGAGAGCTTAGAAAACCCAAGGTACAGAGAAAATAACAGTAATTTCAAAGCCTTTCTGACAGCTTATATTTTCCTCTATCATTCCCAACTCTATACTTACTGTAGAGAAACTTTTTTGGTTACCCTCTGGATTTTTCAGTTAGACATCTGCTGAATGTGCTTGTTTTCTTTTGACCTAGCTTTTATGAAGCCACTGTTATCTCTAACAGTATTGAAGTAGCTGTTTTAATTATTCCTTTATTTATTGTTGCCCTTGGGTTGAGGAGACAGTTCTTTTTTCTGAATGATTTGTCTATCTGAAATTCTGTTAAATTAGTTCTTCAGGAAGAAGACGTTCAACCTATAGCCCTTATTTTTACAAAACAGATACCATTCCAAGTTTTTTGTATTTGTTTGTCTTCCTCACCACAAGTTTTGCCTCTTAAGTAGTTTTTTTCAAATTCAGTCCCTTGATTCTATGAGTTAATACGTTTCTTCGTATTAAAATTTAAGAGTGTCTGTAAAATGAGATTTCTTAGATAAATTCCTCATCAACCAAGGAAAAAGTGATTTTGCTACTTTAAAAGACCATTTTTTTCTTACTTTGCCATTTTCTTATCAAAGCCCAATGGGTTTCACTCTCTTGAAAAGAATGAGTTATTGGTGGAAAAATTTGTCCTTGCTTCATGCTTGACAACATTTTCTGATAAGCTATACAAAGTTATACAAAGAAGCAAAGTATGCATCTAATTTACTAATACAGATATCTTTAATATCTGAAAATTGTACCAAGTGAGCTGCTCCAGATTTTTTATTCTTAAATTCTTCTTGTATCCTTATCACATGATTATTAACTATAAATGTTTACTTATAATGCATATGACCATGAGACTTCTCTTCCTTGGGTCACAGTCATATTAGCACTGCTGCATATAAGTAGAATGATTTTCGACTTTCCAGGTATACCCTAATAAGTCAGCTGCTTCCAGTTTTATTTATATCTAGTCATGTGCCCCCCTAGTGCAGTTTTAGTCAATAAGGGAGCATATGTACAGTTGTGGTACCATACAATTATAGTGGAGCTGATAAGTTCCTATTGTGTGGTGAACACATAGCAGAAGAAGAGGCAAGAGAAGAGGAAAATACAGGAAAAGCAATAGAACAATTGCCAAGGAAATTCAGTGAAACAGGCTTTGCAGACCTCAACAATTTCTTAAAATAATTTGAAAATATGAACCCCTAGCATTGAAAGGTTTTCATTAATAGTGTGGAATGTTCATGGTCTATTACTTGCTTACTAGCAAGCTTATGATGAGAAAAGAAAAACAACCAAGCAATCCACTATGGTTATATTTCTAAAAAAAAAGTGACACCCCTTCAAGAAGAGCCTGAGGCAAGTCCTTAAGGAGGTGTTCCAGAAGGCTGCATTGTTATCATGGAGGTGACAGCTCCATGTGTGTTAAACACATTGTCCTTAAAGACCTTCAAGTGTAACAAGATGTGGAGGTGGAAGACAGTGATATTGATATTGGTGATCCTGACTGTGTGTGGGCCTAGAATAATGTATGTATTTGTGTATTGTTTTTTAACTAAAAGTCTTCAAAAGGAAAAGGAAAAAGACAAAAGCTTATAGAATAAGGATATAAAGAAATAATATTTTTGTATAGCTAAGTGTATTAGTCACTTTTCACAAATGTGACAAAACATCGGGGAGAAACAATTTTAAAGGAAAAAGATTTATTTTCACTCAAAGTTTCAGAGGTTTCAGTCCATCATTAGCTGGCTTAATTGTTCTTAGTCATGGCAAGGCAGAAACATCATGGTGGAAGGGCCTGGTGGAGAAAAGCTGCTGATCTCATGACAGCCAGGAAGCCAAAAGAGAGGGAGGAAAGGGCCTGGGGACAAGGTATATCCTTCAAATACTCTCCTCCAGTGGCCTACTTTGTTCAGCTAGGCCCCACCTCCAAATAGCTCATTCATCTGTGAATTCATCAATGGGTTGGTTAATCCATTGATGCAGTTAGCATCCTTATGATCGACAGTGCCACCAGCTGGGGACCAAGCCTTAACACATAAACATTTTGGGGGTACACTTAATATCCATAGCATAACTGTTACTACAATTGATTCAAAAAGTTTTTAAAGTTTTAAAGTTCATAAAGTAAAAAGGTTATAGTAAGCTAAGGTTAATTATTGAAGAATTTTTTAACGCATTTAGTGTAGCCTGAGGACACAGCATTTATAAAGTCTATTTTACTGCACAGTAATGTCCTAGGCTTTCACACTTATTCCCTGCTCACTCACTGACTTATCCAGAACAACTTCCAGTCCTGCACACTCCATTTAGGACAAGTG